AACTACATTATGTGTCAAATTGCAGAACACAATTGGTCTCACAGAGACTCAGCAATACAACTGGAGGCATTTTATTCATTTGAGACATTTTCTCGCTTGAGCACACTCATCTTTATTTTTTTGTGGTGCTAGGGATCAAACCCAGGGGCTGAAGCATGCCAGGCATGCGTTCTATTGCTGAGGTATAGCCTCAGCTAGAGCATACTCATCTTTGATATGCAATTCCAATATGAAAAATGTAAAGTTGGAAATGTCAAGACAGGACTAAACCACAGCTGCTGCACATATACATATTAACAACCTCCTGGTTCCTCAATAAATCCTACCCCATCTAGGTTAGGCCTTCACTAGCTAATGCCCACTTTTCTGCCTCATAGAGACACATACAAAATGAGGCACACTGATTTAAAAAATTATTCCAAAATTAAAATTTAGTATCAGGTATTTAAATGACAACTAGGAACATATTTCCCCCACTCAAAGGACATTTTTCTACCTATTTTGAAATGTGATTTAAGTAATTTTTCCATAGCCCCTGGATTAAGTTCCAATATAGTATAAATAATTTACTACTCCATAATAATATTCAAATATGGGTCAAGAAAATAATGGATTAAAACAGCTTAAGAACTTGCTGGTGTCTCAGTTTCACATACTTAGGTTTTTCAGTTTGTATCAATTTATCATCAATTTAAATGGAAGGTTGCAAATGATTTTAAAGCTAAGAATGTCCAGCTTTCTGTTAATACCTTATCATTAATTTCAACTCCAAATGAGCCCATTTTACCTCAACACAAGCCCCTCAAAATAGAGGCTTGTGAATGAGATCCAGCCACAACCTAATTACAGCAGCATGAACAATGCCACTAGGATGTCCTCACAGAACTTAAATAAATTCAGCCCACAATGGGTATAGGTATATAATATACACATACTGCATCACTACAACCAATATATTTACAAATATGTACACATATATACAAAAAGTATACACAGAGATTGCATTTAGCATCACAAAAATATACACATGCTATTAAAAAATAAAATAGAAATTTTAAATAAATAAGGTTAAAAAAGAGCCCTCAGGAGGCCAGGGATCTAGCTCAGTGGCGCTGCGCCTGTCTCACAAGTGCAAGGTCCTGAGTTGGATCCCTGGTACTGAAGGAAAAAAAAAAAGAGCCCTCAGTGTAAATACTCTATATTCTCCAAATAAACACACAGGAACATAAACACCCAAAATGTCACCAAGAGACTCAAAGCATCCATATCCACATCAAATCATTTACTCATGGAGTGTGGGCAAGTGATTCTGAATTATTGGCAGTTTCAAGTTTGCAGTTCTTAGTACCTTACTGTATCTCTAGTCGAGAATATTCTCTGGATAGCAGGCTGATTACTAGTTTCTATAGATAACTAAGTATAAGATTTTTCAATTGGGTCCAAACCACTTCTCAGAGACAGAAAGATAATAAATCTTAGAGGCCAGAAAACAAATTTGGAGAAAAATACTAAAGAAAGCTCTAAATTTGACTTGCATCCCCCTGCCCCCAGCAGCACTAGGAACTGAACCCATAGTCTTTGTACTGGGCCACATCTCCAGCCCTTTGATTTTTATTCTGAGACAGCATCTGGCAAAGTCACTAAATTGCCCAGGCTGGCTTCAACTTGCAATTCTCCCACCTCAGCCTCCCAGAGTGCTGGGATTACAGGCATATGCCACCTCTTCTGGCTTCGTGTTCCCTTTACTGGAATTAAATTAGACACAGTTACCACTTAATCTTTTTCAAGGGACTCAGTTGCACAAAGAAAATGAAGGGCAGGAAAAAAAAAAAGAAAATAAAGGGCAGTAGCCACAAACGGAGGAAAATAAAATAAAACCCATATATTTTATCAGGAAAACATCAAACACAACTGGATTAGTTTGCTTCTATAACCTCAAAACATTTCAGTTTGGTAAAAATGTAAAGGATACAGTAAATTCTGTGCTTTGAGATTTTGAGAGCACCACTTTGTACAAGGAAAACATATATACAAAGAAATATATCCTAAAATCAGATTTTTATAATTAAGAAAGAAAAATTTTCTAGACTGACTGAGTCATTGGTTTCTATAATTGGTAAGTAAAAAGAATACTATTTTATTTTATGCCAAGATACAAACTTTTAATAATTTCTTTCTTGCTCACTGTAGAAAGCAGTCTGAGCTACTGGGAAGACTGGGCTGAGATTGGGAGATCTGCATTTTAGTTCTAGTTCTATCATTATATGAATAATCAGTTTTGGAGAGTAAGCTTTCTCTTCTGTAAAATGGGGAATATAGTTGCTTTACCAACTTTAGAAACGTAAGGGTAAAGAAAAAAAGAGAAAGAAAAACCCATTTAGTTGAATTATGTTTTGTGTATAACTGACTTCTTACAGTTTTGTTTCCTAATTGTATACAGGATTTTTTATTTTTCTCTTTTTTTTTGGTATTGGGGATTGAACACAGGGCATGATTAGTGCTAAGTAAATGTTCTACCACTAAGCTACATCCTCAGGCCTTTCAAAACTTGTAATCTGAGACATGGTCTTGCTGAGCTGCCCAGGCTGGCCTTGCACTTGTGATCCTCCTTCCTCAGCCTCCCATGCAGCTGGGATTACAGGTGTGCACCCTTATGCCCAGCTTCTTTGCAGTGATTACTGAGAGATCAGTGACTGCATCAGAATCTCCATGGAGAATTTGTGCAATTTGAAAATGAAAAAGTTGTTTCCATTGCTTTGCTGTGTTCTTAGTGTAAACATTTTAAGTTTTTATGAATTCTAAAATTAAATAGGGCTTGAAATTTGTATATTTATAAAGAAGCCTGGTAAACAATTAAAACACAAAATCTGCCCTTGTCAAACTGAAACCATTGACTGGGTGACTGTCCTTTTACATTTCTTCTTCCGTGATTAATGTAATGTTTGAAACCATGCAAGCTGAGTGAAGAGTACAAGAAGTGATCATTAAATTCTGTATGTGCTTAAAAGTATCATAAAAAGTAAAGAAAAAGACAAGACAAAAATACAAAGTGTTTGCCTAAATGTGACCTTCTCAATGACACATATCCTGATTTCTGTCTCCCACCCCACCCCCCTTTTTTTTTGCACTGACGATTGAACCTAAGGGCTTCACACTGAGCTACACTGGGCCCTTTTTATTTTGAGATAAGTCTTGCTATGTTGCTAAATTGCTCAGGCTGGACCCAAATTTGAGATCTTTCTGCCTCAGCCTCCCAGAGTGCTGAGATTACAGACATATGCTACCAAGTCCGGCTCAGTTTTCTCTTTTAAACATTGCTCTCGGGCCAGGGATTTAGCTCAGTGGCACTGAGCCTGCCTCAAAAGCACAAGGTCCTGAGTTCAATCCCCGGTACCAAAAAAAAAAAAACAAAAAACCAAAAAATTGTTCTCAAACACAAACAAAAGATTTCTCTAATTTTCTCCATCCTGTTTATCACTTTTTAACATAAATCTAATTTCTGTTTATTGCCTGATTCTTCCTTTGAGAATGTAAGCTTCAAAAGATTAGAATTTTTAAGTCTACTTTATTTGTTTCTCCACATTCAGAAAACATGTGAAAAATAGTGGTTGTGCAATGAACATTTTTTTGAAGGCATGAATGAAACATAGTATTTTAGAATTTTCAAGCATAGTTTGAACTTTGAAGATTCAAGATGACAACAGTCCACTTTAGCTCTCTACCTACCAGTAAGGAATTTCAGTACGATCAGCTCAAGGGCCCATGTCATAATCTAAATTTCTATTGTGAGCCCTAAGATAGGCCTGTTTCTAATCATAAAACTCTTAATTTGTGCAGGTCAGTATACCTCTGAAATAGTCTCTAAAACAGCTAGGTGGGACCCAGATATTTTCTTGAACAGTCACTTCAATTATCATGATCTTGACAAGAATGTTGTGTGTAAGCTAGGAATATACTTTCTTTGATAGGTGCTATTCAAATTTTATATTTCCTCCAGAGTTAGTTTCATTAATTTGTCTTCTAAGATACTTCTTAGAAGTTGTCAAATTTATTTCCAAAAATATTTTTGTAATATGCTTTCTATATCCTTTTAAAATCTGTAAAATCTGTGGTAATGTCTCCTAGATCTTAATATTGTAATTTAAAAAATGTATAACTGATATTGTGTAACAGGAAGAAAAGGTCTAAAAGAGCAGGGGAATTGGGAGGGGTAGTGGAAGGGAAAAAAGGGAAAGGAGAAAATATGAGAAGAGGAAAAAAATGGAAACAAGGTCTTTGCAAATAGGGAAGGGTGGAGGGAGTGAAGGGAGGGCAAGGGAAGGGGAAAAAAATAAGAACCAAGAGACTCATGTAATGGTTCAAGATCCCAATGATGAATGTAACTGTATTGTATACCTAAAATGTACTAATAAAGTTAATGGGGGGAAAAAAATTTAAAAAAAAGAATGCTGTGTATAATAAAAACACAGAAACTGGTTTTCCTGGTGGCAAAGGTGGAGAAATCATGATTTTTAGAAACAAAAGAGTCCAAGTTGTAGACTCAGAGAATTGGAGAGGACCTTGGCTCAACTGTTTCATGTTGCACGTAAGAGTGCTAAAAATCAGAACCTGAAGACACTTGTCAAAGGGCACAATGGTACTGCTACTTACTAGGAAAGCCAAGATTAGAACTCAGGTCTCCTGATTCTCAGACTACTATTCCTCATGCTTAGCAGGTGAGGATAAAAGCTCAGGACAATAAATATCATTTTAAACATCAAAAAACAGGAAAATATGCGCTGGTAGGATAGTAACTGGCAGAGAATTTTAGGGGAATTGGATTCAGAGGCCAGACAACTCAAGATGGGCTACTGATGCAGTCAAGTGAACGCTGGAAAGGAAACCTATGAAATTTGTTAAGATATTGAAGAAAAGGAATAATCCATTGCAAAATGAAAAACAAGCCAGTAGCAAAAGAAATCTTTACAAGCTTTTCCCAAGCTTTCTGAAATACCATTTGAATGAAAATATATATATATATATATATTTTTTTTTTTTTTTTGGTACCGGCGATCTAACTCAGGACCTCGAGTTTGCCAGGCAGGTGCTGTGCCACTGAGCTAAATCCCCAGCCCCCTGAAATACCACTTGAAAGAGCAAATGATGATAATAGTTTTTAAAATGTAAGTACCCTAAGGTCCCTGAACCCAAGAGCAATAATTTCAAGACTTCACATGAAAAATTAGCAGATTGAAGGTGGTATACGAATAACTTAGACCTACATTATTCTTTAGGCCAGAAATGAAGGTTAAGTTAAAAATATTACAGTAAAACCTCCCTAGAGACCACAGGAAAGAGGTACTAAGAGCAATCACTTCATTTCCCCTGGGATTGCCACAGCTAAAATGTGAGCCTATACAGAAAATTAGGGAGAAGGTGTGATTGGTAAGATTTCTGAACTTTAATGCTGTGCAATTAAAAGATGGGGGTCCAGGGATTTAGCTCAGTGGTTTCACCGCCTGCTGCACAAACGCAAAGACCCGAGTTCAATCCCTGGTACCAAAAAACCCCCAAAAGACGGGGAAAAATCCTTCATAGCTAGTGCCTGTGAAGCTATGAAGGGGATGAAAGGATAAAACACAAAAAGCCTTTTCTTGTATTCTGAGGCCTATTTAAAATAATAGAAAACTTGTATATGAATATAAAATAACTAAGTACAGGGAGTTTTAACAAATCTTATTCCCAAATTATCAGTGTAAAATCAACTTTTGCTTTAAGTTTCAGAACATCTGGTTACCCTCAACCAAATTTAATCTCTGATTTTGAAGTCTCCTAAATTTTTTTTTTTTTTTTTTTTTGGTACCGGGGATCGAACTCGCATCCTTCCGCTTGCAAGGCAGGCAGCGGAACCACTGAGCTAAATCCCCGGCCCCCTGAAGTCTCCTAAATTTGAACTAGGCAAGAAGAAACTGAACGATATGCCACAGATATCAATCCAGACAGTTTTAAAATTTGATCTTATAAATTAAGTTATAACCCTATGAGGTAGCTATTACTGTTATTATTTTATTTTTTTTCCAGTACTGGGGATTGAACTCAAGACCTTGTGCTTGCAAGGCAGGCACAGTGTCACTGAGCTACATCCCTGGCACTTAAATTAACTAAGTGTACTTAAATTTACTTACTTAAATTAAGTAAGTAAATTAATGTCTTTCCCAAAGACACTGTATTAGGAAACCAACAACTTGATTTTTTTACTGAAATATTTAAAACTTGTTTTTTTTCATTTCCAACATTCAAAGATTAAACAGAAAACAAAATATGCAAATAAATCTCATGATAACACAATACTCAGTTATCACCTCAAGTCCCAACTAAAAGATTTAGCTTTCGCATGCAAATCAATCCTAAACCACTTCTGAATTTTTGACAGTATTTAAAGGTATTCAATGATTTCAAGAACTGCCTGGATCACATTTAAAAGAAGCACACATTTTTCTACCTACTAATTTGGAATGAAAAAGAAATATTATGGAAGGACTCTTTTCTTGCTTTTCAGTAGTCCATGCTGGCCAGTTTCATCATTATAAACAATTACATGTTTCCCAAATCCAGACATTTAAGGTCCAAGTACAGAAGTTGGACTTTTCTCATTATACAAAAATACACAATTTACTCTTCTCAGGGTGAGAACAATGACTAAGTATAGGACTGGATATTGGAGGTAATCAAAACCCAAAAATAAAAATTCCAAGATCAATTGAATTTTTAAAAGACTTAAAAGACTGCATTTTAAAAGTTACCCTAAAAGTCTGAACTTTTTTTTTTGTTTGCTTTTAAAATGGTGGTCCTAAATTAAAAAATAAAAACTAAGTAACACACTACGTTTCTGTTGTCACATTAGAAAACTGCACCATTTAAAATCTGTGGAAAATGAAAAACTGTTTCAACCAGAGGGTTTGTGTTTTAATAGTCATCTATGGTATTTTCAAAGAAGACGTTTCGAACATCCAGAATGGATGCTAATTCCAAAATGTGCTTCTGGAGATGAGGATTCTCCACTGTTTCATCCCTTGGCAGCTGTGGGTATGATTCTGGGTAATTTCGTGTTTCCTGGTAAGCAAAGCAGAGCAAAGTCAAGTTTTATACTCTAATGGATGACAAGTACATACAACACTGATACAATATTAAGGAGCTTAGTATTTATTTTTTTCCTTCATATTGGCCGGTATGATTATTATTAATGTATTTGTTGAACATGATTACTAACATTTTACCATTTCGAACTCTAAAAATGACAAGTTCATATGGTCCAATCTAATATATTACTTCATGAGTTATTTTATAAATATTTGCTGAGGCTTGTTGCACTGGGCACTATGTTCTATATCATCTGAAAACCATACCACATACTTCCTTCTTGCTGGGGGAAAAATCTTAACATATGTGGAATTTCAAACACTCCCGTCCCCCAATATTGGGGAATGAACCCAGCTCTTTTGTATTAGACTATATCTCTAACATTTTTGTTTGGCACTGGGGATGGAACTCAGGACCTTGCGCTTTTGAGGCAGGCATGGCGCCAAAGAGCTAAACCCCAGCCCAAGCCTATTTAATGTTGAGACATGTTCTCACTAAATTGCCCAGTTTGGCCTCAAACTTGTGACCCTTCTGCCTCAGCTGCCCAGAGTGCTGGAATTACAGGAATGCACCACCACACAAGCATTGTTTAAACAAATGAATAGATGCAGTAGTAAACAAAATGAAGGAAAAGACATGAAAAGCACTTAGAAGGTGAAATTTGTCGTAATTACAGGAGAAAAGAAAGCCAAACAAAGCCCAAAGATTTGAGAAATGAATGAGTTAATGGAAGAGTTGGGAGCTACCGAGAGAAAAGAAGATAAGGAGAAAAGAAGATAAAAGAAGAGATCATTTGGGGAAAATATAATGCTTCAGGTTTTAAGTGTATTATATGTGAGTTAATAGAGAAATATGGATAAAACTGCTGCATAAATACAATTTGAAAATTCAGGGCTGTATCCCAGAAAACATATATCTAAGCAGTATAAACAATGATATAATGTTCATCAAGATCAGTATTAGAGCAACAAAAACAGTTGAGATTTCTAAGTCATTAGCAAAAAAAATAAATAAATAAAAATAAAAGAGTAAAGGAGATGCTAAAAAGGATAAAGAAAAAATCTGGAGCACCAAAAAAAAAAAAAAAGTAAAAGTAACAAAAGAAAATACGGGAAAAAAACCCAACAACTGACAGGAAAATGTGAGATGGAAGCAAAAGGAGACAATTTCAAGAATCTGGTAACTTTTACAGGCTGTAACCCCTGCCCCACATCCCACCTTTACAATTTCCTTAAGAAATAAATTACTACTTTTTAATGCATTACAAATGACAGTTTATTTATTTATTTGGTACTGGGGCTTGAACTCGGGACCTTGCACTTGTGAGGCAGGCAGCGGAACCTCTGAGGTAAATCCCAGGCCCAAGTTCATATATTTAAATGTCATTTCTAAAAAATATTTTTAAACAGGAAAAAATATTACCTTTACCTCTCTCTCTAGGGCTCACATACTACACATTACAATGAAATTATTCTACACAACAAATCCCATCGAGATAGGAGAGTAGGGTGTGAAATGAAAAATTGGACAAGGGCTGGGGATTTAGCTCAGTGGTTCTGGCACTGTCCTCGAAAGCACAAGGTCCTGAGTTAGATCCCCAGTACCAAAAAAACAAAAACAAAAAAACCTCACGAAAGATTGGACAAGATTGACCAACCGGACACTCCAGAAGCAAAGATTAGAAAAACTGAAGACATAGCAAAAGAAACTGTTCAAAGTGAAATGCACAGAGGAAAAAAAAAAGAAAATGAATGAATCCCTGACCAATGTGTAACATACATGTAATTAATGTTTCAGAAAGAGAGAAGTGGAAAGAAAAAAATTTTGAAAAAGCCAGGTATAGTGGCACATGCCTGTAATCCTAGCACTCTGGAAGCTGAGACATGACTATTGCAAATTCAAAGCAACCTGGGCTACATAGCCTGTTCAAGGTTGGCCTGGGCTAAATACCAAGATGCTGTCTCAAAACAAACAAAATAAAAACTTCAATGGTAAAAAGCTTTTAATTGTAAAACTTAGATCCAAGATGCTTGATGAATCTTAAGCAGGGAAAAAACCAACAACAAGGAAAACCACATCAAGCATGTATATCAGAGTTTTTTTGTTTTTGGTACCGGGGATCAAACTCGAGTCCTTAGCTTGTGAGGCAGGCGGTGGAACCACTGAGCTAAATTCCCGGCCCAAGCATGTATATCATAATCAAATTATAAGAAGCCAATATACAGAGAAAAACCTTAAAAGCAGCTAAAAGGAAACAAATAGAAAAAAGCACCTAGAAGAAAATGAAAGACACATTACACACTGCAACAATTACTAGAAGTAGTTAAGATCAGTAAATATACAGTTTGAACAACATTAAAAACCAATGTGACTTTTTGAAAAGGATTAAAATAAGAGTATATATGCTCTGAAAACAAAGTAATTAGGGTTCAGTAAATTTGTTTGTTTGGCACTGGTATTGAACCCAGGGAACACTCAGTTTCATCCCGAATCTTTTTATATTGATACAGAGTCTCACCAAAATGCCCAGTCTGGCCTTGAATGTGCAATCCCCCTGCCTCAGCCTCTGGAGTAGCTGAGATTACAGGTGTGCCACACTGGGCTTAACAACACATTTCTAAATAACTCATGTTTCATAAGGTCAATCATTAGAATGAGATAAAATATCAGATACATAAGTAATGAAATAATTTATCGCTATCAGATCTGCAGTACAAGAAGTGCTAAAGGGAATTCTTCTGTTATAAGATGATACCAAATGGAAAATTAAATCTGCATACAGAAATACAGAGTGCCAGAAATGGTATTTATACCCCAAAATGGTTTTTTTTCATTAAAAGTTTTCAAAAATACAGTTATTGATGGGGCGGGGATTTTAGCTCAGTGGTTTTGGGGCCTGCCTCAAAAGCGCAAGGTCCTGAGTTCGATCCCTGGTACCAAAAACAAAAACAAAAACAACACAACCCCCCCCCCAAAGATGTAATTATTGATGCTACAATAACCACAAACTATCAGATAGTATATATTCTACATAAAAGGCAGATGTGTGGAATCACAGTACAGAGGATGCGAGGGAGAAAATGGAAGTATAGTGTTGTAACAATTACATTATACATGAAGCCATATTAAATTTTTTTCCCATATTGTTATGGCTTGTGTCTAGATGTCCCCCCAAAGCCTCATGCAGTCATAGGTGGGGCTTTTTGAAGGTGGCTGGATCTAGGGTGTATGGTGCAGGCATTAAGAGTGTATGATTACTAAATCAGTCCATTGGGTAGTTTGGCATAGTTCTGGATGTAGATAATGGGAAGGCCCACCCTGGATATGGGTGGTACCACCCACAGGGTGGGTAGCCTGGAAGGAATAAAAGGGAGAAGCAGTCTGCTGCTGCTGCTTCACTGCCTTCTGCCTACTATGATTTGTTTCTCTATGATGGCCCTTTGCTATGCCACATTACCTCAGAGCCAGGACTAAAACCTCTACAAACTGTGAACTAAATAAAACTTTCCTCCTTTAACTATGTGTGTCAAGTATTTTGTCTCAGTTACAACAAAAGTAACTAAGGCACATTAAAAAATTTTAACCTCGGGCCGGGGATTTAGCTCAGTGGTTTCGCTGCCTGCTACACAAGCACAAGGACCCGAATTCGATCCCTGGTACTAAAAAAAAAAAAAAAAATTTAACCTCTCACACAGTAAATAAAAACTAACTCAAAACAGACCACAGACCTAATCGTAATAGCTAAAACCATAAAACTCGTAGAAGAAAACCTTTGTAACCTTGAGACAGGCAAAGAATTCTTATATAACACACAAGAACACAAACAACAAAGGAAAAAAGAAATGTATTAGTTGAAATTTCTTCAAGTCACAGAACGAGATATAGCCAAAAGATAGCCAAAGAACACATGAAAGGCGAATATCAATATTGACTACTGTGATACAAACTGAAAACTACACTGAGATAACTCTCCATAACCACCAGAATAGTCACAGTTGAAAAGTCTGAGAACACCAAATATTGGCAAGAATGTAGAATAACTTATACACATCTACTGGGAGTGTAAAATGGTACAACCACTTTGAGAAAAAAGTTCTAGTAGCTTCTTAACAAACCTAAACATATGCCAACCATATGACCAGGAAAATACGGTCAAAACATGTCTATGTAAAGACTTATACAAGCCTTTTTATTTATAATGGAAAGCAGTTTTACTTATAGTAGCCAATGATTTAAAACTCTCTGGTGTTTATCAACAGGAGACTGTTAAAAAAAATGTAGTACATTTGGAGAATGGAATATTACTCAGTAGCAAAGAGGAATAAGCTACTGATACATAAAACACCATGGGTGAATCTCAAGAATAATATACTTGAGGGGGCCGGGGACTTAGCTCAGTGGCTCTGTGCCTGCCTCACAAGTGCAAAGTCCTGAATTCGATCCTCAGTACCAAAAAGAACAATATACTTGATCAAGGAAGGTTTACGCAAGAGTCCAAATTGTGTGATTCAAATTCAGATCCATGTAATTTACAGCAAAAGAGTGGTAGCCTCTGGGATAATGATTAGTGGACCAACTAATCATGGAAAGGTATATGAAGGGAACTTTCTGGAATAATGTTATGTGGTATAACTTCATAGAGAATGGGATACACAGGTGTCTTCCTCCTCAAAACTCAGCTAATGGTAAATTTTATAGTTTTGTGCATTTTACTGTATGTAAACTTTCCCTTAAAAAAAAAAAAGATAAAAACAGGCAGGCTAGTGGTGTGCACCTGAAATCCCAGCACTTGAGACACTTAGGAGGATCACTGGAAGTTTGAGGCCATCCTGTACTATATAGTGAGCTCAAAGCTAGCCTGGACTACATAATGAGACCCTGTCTCAAAGATGCAAACAAGGGCTGGAGATGTAGCTCAGTGGTGCAGTGCCTGCCTGGCAAGCACAAGGCCCTGAGTTTGATTCCTAGTACCAAAAAAAAAAAAATCTATCTATGTTCAAAATTATCTTCAAAATTCATGACAAGTAAGATGAACTGATGAAAGAGGGAAAGATAAATGGACAAATATGTGAGAAAGTAAATATATTGAAATGTTAGCTGTAGATCCTAGAATACTGTGTGTGCGTTCACTGTATAATTCTTTTACATTTTATAGTTATAATAAAATGGAAAGAGGTAGTGTTTTGAAACAAAAAATTAAAAAACTTTTTCAAGGGGCCGGGGATTTAGCTCAGTGGTTCCACCGCCTGCCTTGCAAACTGATAGCTGGTACCAAAAAATTAAAAAAATTAGGGGCCGGGGATTTAGCTCAGTGGTTTTGCCTCCTGTTGCGCAGGCATAAGGACCCGAGTTTGATCCCTGGTACCAAAAAAAATAAAAATTAAAAAATAAACTTTTTCAAATGTAAATAGTGGAAAAACCTCAAATGTTACAGAAGAAACATAACGGACATTATCTTTAAAACCTCAATGAACTACATTGTGTAATACAAGAATACATAGAGGGCCAGAGATTTAGCTTAGTGGTGCTGTGCCTGCCTGGCAAGCACAAGGTCCTGAGTTCGATCCCAAACTCAGTTCGGTACCAAAAAAAAAAAAACCCCAAAAAAACCAAAACATAGAATGTGAGGAAGGAAACCAAACTATCAAGTCAAGCAAAAGACTTGAAAATAATCTATACAAAGAGGAACACAGAATAAGACTTAGAAGAAGTTGCTCAACCTCTATAGTGATATTGAGTGCATATGAAAATTACAACCACAATGACTTACTACTTTACACTTTCCAGGTCACATACAATTTAAAGTACAATGGCAATAAATGTTGCAAGGAAAACTAAGAGTAATTGCCATTCTTACATACTCTTTGTGTGAGGGTAAACCGAGGGACCCACTCTGGAAAACACTGTGCTATTAACTCATAAAGTTAAATGTGCTTATATCCTCTCACCTACTGGGCATATCTCCAGAGAAAATCTTGTATACCAGTGGCATCATTTCTATAATAATAATAACAATACAACCTGGATTGATAATTTGTGATGTACAGTCAAGACAAATGAAGACTATAGTTATCAATATGGCTTAATCTCAGGAATAATTTTGATGGAAAAAAGCAATATAGATGATTTCATATGTTTACAAAAATACAAATATGTGTGACAAAACTATAAAGCAAAACAAATAATAATAATGATAAAATTCAGGATGGCAACTGCATCCTTAGAAGGAGACAGGATCAGAGAGAACCTACAGAGGGTCTCAAAAGAAAGGAAAATGATCTTGAACAAGATAGTAGGCACTCGGATGTGTCTTCATATTATCGATCTTTATATTTTATTCATTTCTAAACATTTTAGATCTATTTAAACTTTTCAATACAAGTAAAATATAATACATGATTCTTAAATAACTAAAATAGCAAAACTGGTCTTGAGTAATATTCTTTGCCTACCCGAAAAATCTTGTGCATCCTCATGGTCGCTGAACAAAAGATAAATCTTGTGAGAAGTAAGCGAAGAAATTCATCTCCAAAAAACTGGAGAAATGCCTGATCTGCAATGAGGAAAAAGGTGACAGTAAAAGGAGGTTTTGTTTCAAAGAGGAGGCAACTTCAGGAAAGCCTTTTTGACTTTCCTGCCTGGGTCAAATACCTTTAAAGACTCAAACAATTTAAAATAGCTAACTATTTTAAGCCATTATACTATATTTTGTTAAGTGTGCAGTTAGATTAGTAGGGTACCTATTGAACGTGAATGGGTCAGTAGCTGAGCAATATCACGGTTGATTTTCCGAAGATATTCTTGGCACTTTTCCCATAGACCTCTACGCATGCTCGACAATCCAGAGACAAACAGGAAGGCCATTAGAGGATTGTTCAAAAAGAGAGTGAAGAGGCTACCTCGTTGAGATTGATCTGCAATAACAAATATGTTAGATAGACAGACAGATAGATAGATAGACAGATAGATAGATAGATAGATAACAGTTTTAAGAGGGGTAAGAGATTTATATGAGGAATATTTTAATTTGCTGGTAATGTTAAAGTGATATCACTAAAACAAAAAAAAAAGTGGTATCACTAAACATATTCAACAGTGCAAACTTTCCATGAAACTACAGAAATATACTCCATGCACATTGCCTTCTCTAAGATAGAGCCCAGTAAACATAAGAGAGATGGAAAAATAAACACATTCCTTACTATCCCCAACTAACAAATTTTATCCAAATATGACAAGCATTGACTTATAGTCTGTCCGAGATAGAAGTCTCTAAAGAGTAGTAGAATTGCCGATTTTCTTCATTCTCCTTTATTTATTGCTCTTTCTCTGCCTAAACTTTACCATCATCATCAACATTTTCTTTTTTCTTTTTATTTTTTGGTACCGGGGATAACCACTGAGCTACCCCAGCCCCTGCACATAGGATTTTAATTATCATTTATATGTCTACTGATTCCTTATTCTCAATGTGCATGCAGCCTAGAGACACTCTGTAAACACAAACTGGATTTCAAAACCTTAGTATAAGAATACATATTGCTAATAGTTCTCTCCCCGCCCCCCTCAATGGTACTGGGGATTGAATGAATCCAGGGCCCTCACACTGAGCTGCATTCTCAGTCCCTTCTTTTAGTTTTTTTGTTTTTTGGTACCGGGGATCAAACTCGGGTCCTTGAGCTTGAGCAGCAGGCAGCGAAACCACTGAGCTAAATCCCCGGCCCCCTTCTCTTAGTTTTAAGACATGGTCTTGCTAAAGTGCCCAGGGTAGCCTTGAACTTGTGATCCTCCTGTATCAGCTTCCAACGTAGGTGGGATTAAGGCATGCACTACTATGCTTGACTTCCTTTATTTTATTTTTCTAAATGAGTGAATTTTTTCTTTTATTTATTTACACTAACACAATCCAAAACTTCAATTTTGCTTTTCTACCTTCTGAGTTGGGAAGTTTAATGTTATCAATGATGATATTCTCATCCTTGTCCTAAGACTGAACTGTCCTCTGAACTGTATTAGGAACTCTCCTGAACTATCATCTTCTTTTGAATCTGCCTGATTCATCTCAAATAAGGTCATATCCATTTGTATAACTTTTCTGAGAGTCTCATTGATACTGAAATGACCAGAGGGAGTGCCTTCTATTTGTTTTCTGAGCTTTTCACTTGCCTGAGCTTTCTGTGGGAAAAAGTTCTGATCTTGGCCTAGTAATGGACTCCTCTCTGTCTGAACAGTCTGAAAAGTAGCTGTTTTTCTGGAATTAGGCTTGGAGTTGATAAGTAAATTGTCTCATGTACCTCCTTGGCCACTGCCCACAATCAGCAGCTCTTTAGACAATGAGACCCTTGAGCACTGCTGGATGGGAGACGAAGAACTTGGGCTTGCACAAGACTTGCTGTGGACCTCCATAAATCTGAAGCCAGCTAGATTTCCTCCTGTGATGACCACAACCACACAGCCCACCAAGCGCCACTTCTAGGAATGCCGTCCCATGGTGTCTGGAAATACTCCCACGCCCAACTTCTTAATTTTTAAAGTGTGGTACTAGCTGGGCATGATGGGATATGCCTATAAGCCCAGCACTCTGGGGGGCTGAGGCAGGAGGATTACAAGTTTGAGGCCACCCTGGGTAACTTAGCAAGAGCCTGTCTCAAAATTTAAAAAAAATTAAGCAAGGGATGGCTGGAGATGTATCTCAGTGTGAAGGCCTTGGATTTAATCCAGCCAGCTCCAACACCCCCCACCCCAAAAATGGATACTCATGCTACATTTCTATCAGGCAGGGTTGATCTAGACTCCTACATTAATTTAACTCTCAAAGGTATCTCAAACTCAACATGTCAACAATTGAAAGCAAATTCTATCCCCTTTACAAAGTTCTCACAAATAGACTTCTCGTCAAATCTCATTATTTCTACTGGTGCCAGAGACTTGACATGCATTCCTGCTTCCTTGATCTCCCTCCCATGCCCAGCCCATCACAATACTACTAGTTCACTGAGCTGAGGATTTTTGAAGCCAACTGCATAGTCACTGTCTGAGCTCTGGCCACCACCATCTTCCTACTTCCATCTGTGCTCCTCTCAGTTCCATTCTCAATAAGGATAACTGAATTCTCCCCTCTTAACATCCTGATGGTTCCCCATTGTTCCCCACTAAATCACATAATAAATCTTGAAAACTTTTCATCATTCAGGCACTCAATACCCTTCAGCTAGAAGGAGCTACTTTAATTTCTCTAAGTGGCCCCTAGGTTCTCTTATCTCAGGGTCACTGCACATGCAGTTTCTCTCTGGAACACTGGTATTCAGTCACCCTTCATCCCCATCCTATTCTGCATGCCCTGTATGGCCACACTGGACATCGTCTCATCCCCCACTTCAACTTTTCGTGTGTGCTCCTGTGTCATCTCCTATGAAACACTGTACCACTTACAGTACTTGCCTGTTAGGCTGTCTCTATCTTCTACTAGACTGTGGCTCTGGGAGAAATATAACTGAGTCTTACCAGGTTAGAGTGCTCACCTTGGTGCCTAGCACAGTGCCTGGAAAATCAGTGTTGAATAACTGTGCTGAGCAAATAAAGCAAGTCTTACCTAATGACAGAACTATAGGCTTTAGATATACAAAGTGCAGGAACCTTATCTGACATTCCAATTACTTAAATACCTTTAGTTTTGTGCCCAGAGGAGAGGCAACTGTTTTTGAAGAGGTAACAACAATGCCATTGGATGAATTCCACCTTTCTCACAAGGGAAATTTGAATCTATGTAACTAAACAACTCATTTAAGATATTTGAGGTCTAAGCTCTACAGCACAAATATAGGATACTGAACCAGAAAAGTGTTAAGGACATGTATTACAAATATGCACACTAATAATAATGATAGCACATATGGAATACTTTTTAATGTACCCAGTATTATTTTCTGAGGTAGGTATGATTATTTTCATTTGACAGATGAAGTAATTGAAGCACAGAATGGCTGAGTAACTTCTCAAAGTCACACAGCTAGTAAGTGGCTAGGTCAAGACCCAAATTCATTCGATCTGTGTCCAAAGTCTGTGCTTTTTGCCTCCACACAATAGTGCTTCAGATCCAGTAATCTTGGTATTAACTCACTTGACCATGTAATTTAAAATAAAGCTATGTCATCATAGGACAGATTGAGAGCAAAAAGCACTGAGTAGTTAGAAGGGGTTACACTCCTCCAGAAATGACAACAGGATGACAAAATCCCAGGAGAATTTTACCGTTGTTTGAAGGTAAGTTCTATCCCTTAGTAATTTGGCGTTTGAATATATGAACTTAGAATTTCTATATGGTTTTTCCTTGTTAAACAGCAGAACTTACCTTAAAACAACGGTGAAAGTCTCCAGCTTCTCTCAGGCATTCAAATGCTGACCATCACTTCCTGTGTCAAACTATGTCAGCAGACAGGACTTCTGGCTGGGAAGTAGCAGTAATATGCCATCTCCCAGAGAGACATCAGCACTATTCACAGTTAGGGAGATAGTGAAACAGTGACAAGTACTGCTAAAACAGTGTGAAGGCTCTTCAGTATTCTAATAAATGACTGGGAGTTAGAATTAGGTTTTATGTGTTACCTATTAAGGACAATCACTAAGAACAAAAAGTCTTTCAATTCTCAGACATTAGAGAAATGACCCAAACACTAACTTGTGTCTCTGGCAGATTCAGAAGAGGTTCTCTTACTTAAGAATTAAAACAAAAGGGAAAAAAAATAAAAGAAAGAAAAGGAATCCCTTTAAGTTGTGCCAGTAGGTTATCCTAACTCTTAGGCATAGGCTGAGAGTAATCCTAGAGTACTAATCTTAAGCTCTTAAAAGATGCCTAAAATATGTAATCAAAGATAAAGAAAATCAGCCTACATGGATATGACAAGCAAATCAAAATAAACACTTGTAAAACAAAATTTCAAATTTATAAATCATGAGTTCCCTACAGCATGAGACTAAACCACCTCTCTCAAGGAGGAATTATCTCAATGCCTAACTGTAGCACATTAAGGAAGTCTGGTTGTTGGCAAGGCTTCTGGACATATTTCAGATTGACACCTGCCACAGTAAACACCATCAATCCACGCATAATCATTATGGGAGGGAAAAACAAATATCAAGATTATTCAAAGTATAGATAGCATTCATTCATATCCTACTCAGTAACAGGCACCAAGAGACATACCTTGTAAAGCTTTTGGATATGCCGTAGGAGAAAGTAAGCAGACTAGGGGCTGTCCAAACAAGTTTGTGAAGTTCTGTAATACATAAGAATTTAAAATCTTCATTAAAGATTTGACCAATGGTAGTTACTTAGTAATTTTCCACAGTATATGACTAGTGCACAGATTGACTGGGTTAACACATAAGCAGATGAAGAAACAGCAGCAGCTGCACATATACCATTTCTATCCAATTACCATGCATATAGGACTGCTAAATGGCTATCACAAATGTGAAGTTTACTAAGAGAAGTACTGCTTTTTATAAGCAAATGTATGGTTGTCATGCTGCAAGGAGAGGTCATCTGGCCGTCTACCAAGAGGCTACCCCAATGGGGAACATATACTGTATATTCCAGGATAAACTTTCCAAGATCTAGGATTTGGCTTTCAGTCACAAAGGTTCCAAACTGTGATGTACTGGTATGAGAAGACTGGATCCAAGTCTTACTGAGGATCACAGTAACTGCTCACACAGGGCACCATGTAACACTAGAATGTTAATGCGTTAATTTACAATAAGAATTAAGCAAAGTATCCTTTTAAGGATTAAGGCTGATCTACAGGAGAAGTAAAATCATAAACGCTTTGGTAAAATGACAAGAAAGGTAAAACTCCTAAGAATAAACTGCATATGAAACACATGTGTGTGCACACACACAACTTTAAAAATGAAAGCTTCGGGCCAGGGATTTAGCTCAGTGGTTCCGGAGCCTTCCGCGCAAGCTCAAGGTCCCAAGTTCAATCCCCAATACCAAAAACAAAAAAACAAACAAAAAATGAAAGCTTCAACAAATGGGAAAGCATTGTTTTTGGAGAGAAATCCATTTTAAAATGTAATTTATTGAAATTTAAACCAACCTCAATAAAAATAGACTCTGCAACTGAAAAAAGAAATTCTAAAGTTCATATGGGAAAATGGGATTAATCAGAAAACTGGAGGGAAAAAAGGCAGTGAGGGGGATGACTACACTCATCTAGACTTTAAAACCTAATTGAAAGCCTCATACTTCAAAATATATGCCACTGGCACAAGAGCAGGCAGAAAACTAATCAGACAGAATGGAAATCCAGAACTAGACCCCAAAAATATTTAGGACTTCTCTCTATATAACAATGATGACAGCTCAAATTGGTTGGAAAAACTGAAAAACCATCTAGAATAAAGATATTACATATATGTATTCTCCGTATTTCACACCATATTCTAGGATAAATTCAAAATACATCAAAGATTTAAATGTAGCCAGGCATGGTGGAGCATGCCTACATGTAATCCCAGCATTCAGAAGGAGGCTGAGGCACAAGGCTAGCATGGGCTACATAGTAAGAACTCATCTCAAAAAAAAAAAAAAAATGATAAAAAGACTTAAATGTAAAATAATTACAATAAAAATCATGAAATATAATGAGTTATTTTTTGATCTAGAAGACTCTCCTGACTAGTAGCTTAGTTTAGTTATTTTGAATAGGCTGAGCAGCTAGGCTAACGATAGGACTGGGTAAAAGAGCTAATTCAAATACTGTAGCTGATTAATGAAGCAGCTGGTTAAGCCTAGAAATATAAAAGAAAATATAAGAGCAAAAGATAAGAGGTTGGGATGAGAACAGAGAGATAAAGACTCTTCCTTGCAGGAAGACTTTTATCAAGGTTACACTAAGTTAGTTACAGCTCTTCAAGAAATAAAAATGCAAGATAACCAGTTTCCTTTTGAACTATTTAATTCACTTCCTGTGAAACAATCCCTTTCTCATGCTATGGTTATTGATGTAAGCACAGGGCAAGGAGCACAGTTTGGATTTTTTGCTAAGAATGCCCTCGCAATAGACAACTATCACAAATTTTTTCCTCTTATTATTTCCAATAAAAATCTCATAATTTCCTCCTGTTCTCAGAACCATGAGATCAGTTTTGTGATTTGAAATAGGGCAATTAGGGAAGACTACATAACAAGCTTCATTTGCTTAAATACATCCAAAACCAAGTGGGTACCTTTGAAAGAGGATTCAAGGCTGAGGAAACAAAATGAAAAGAGCCTGAACAATCTGAAGAATAGCAAGAGAGATCAGAGATGCCCGGGGGAGGGTGGGTATATGTAAGCAGAAAAATAAGGCATTTATTCTGAGATGAGAGCCACTGGAAATTTTAGGTAGAGCAGGGACATAGCTGACTTACTACTTACTTCTAGAGGCACAAAGGCAGAAGGAAGACTAGTTGGGAAGCTACTCCAGTAAGTCAGGTGAATGACGAAGGTAGGACGGACAAGATGGATGGCAGTAGAGGTAACGAGATTTTGGATATCTAGTTAAAAGTCAAGAGGGATGACTGAAAAGGATGTGGGAAGGAAGGGGAAGAATACAAAGCCAAGCAGAAAACCAGGATATTGGCTGGGGCAACTACAAAAGCTTAATAACCACTAACTAAAATGGGGGAGGATGGAGGTGGAAGTATGGTAATTGCCTTGGGTATTGTCAGTTTGCAATCTCTACAGTCAAGTTTTCACTTAGAGATTGTGGCATAAGCAGATGATGTTTAAGAAGAGTTCAAGAGCGAGGTCTGGCCTGCAGATAAGGTATTTGATAGTAGTCAGCATAGATATAATAATTAAAGTCATGAAATTAGATAAGGGTATTAAATGAAGGCTGGAGGTGTAGCTCTGTGGTGGAGTGCTTGCCTAACCAGCAAGGCCCTGGGTTCAATTCCTATACCTATACACACACACACACACACACACACACACACACACACACACACACACACACAATACTGGGGTGAGGAGGTCAGCTGTGGCTGGAAAATAAGAGGAATGAACTGAATCCAGAGGTTGCTAATGGTGAGATATCAGAGAGTTGAAGTCAAACCAGTAGAGGAGAAAATAACAGATTTCAGGCTACTGTTGCCCTGAGGTAATCTAGCAACTTGAATGTAGGTTTTGAAGGCCTCACCTGGAAAATGGCACAGGTGTTTGAGTTTACCATATGCTCAAGATAGGAATCTAAGAGAAGACCTATTCACATTAGAGTAGAATCCTGAAGGGTTTGCCCTCAGTATGATGATAACCAGACCCAAACTTAATATCTGTTTTCTGCCTACAACCACTTCTCATGGGACTGCAAGGAAATTTACCTTGGAGTTGAGTTGAAGTGACACACTATAGCCGCTTCTACAAAAAAGTGGCTGTTGAAGTTGTCACTAAAAGCCGGCTCTCCTTAAGATTTGCTGCCCAAATTTCCACCACCTAAGTGATCCCCAAAACAAGGTCCCAAACTAGAAGTGCCTTCAGGCGTTTGGCACGAGCAAATGCAAACCCGTTTTGGAGTAAAGTAACTTCATCTGAGGGTGTCCTGAACTTCATACAAATAATTTTTTTTTTCCTACAAACAATTTTAAGGATAATGATAGAGCTGAGCTGATCAAGTATATGCTGGAAGGCACAAAAATAACAATCTATGTCTTATACAGCAAAATAGAATTTCAGGTTTAGGAAACAGAGAGATAATAAATAATAAGTATGAATATTAAATTCAAAGAAATGAACAAGACTGAAAATAGAAAACCATAAAAAACAACAATACCTGAAAAAGTACCACAGAACTTGTATAAATGAAAAATATTATAACCAACATAAAACTAAATAAATGGATTTAATAATGTGATAGACACAACTGAAGACAGAATTTGTGAATTAAAGCTGGACCTGAAGAAATTATATAAATCTCAAGCACAGAAACAAAATGATACAAAATATATTAAGAGGTTTTGAAATGTATGAAACACAGCGTAAATGTCCAATATACTTATTGATTGCAATGCTGGGAGAATCAAACCTAGGACCTGCACAAGGACTAATACAAACATTAAAGCTGAGTTCCAAAGGAAATGGGAGGGAGGGTTGAGTAGAGTCAGTAGTTAAAGAGATAATGGCCAATAATTTCCCACTAGTAATGAAAAATTACAATCTAACAATTCAAATAGTTGAACAAACCCCAACAGGTTAAACCAAACCTAGCTCCATCTCTGAAGAACTGTAGAACACTAAAAGGCCTTTCAATGCAGCAAGAAAGAAATGGAGAGAGTGAGGCTGAACAGCTTTTATGACTATAGTAAATGTCTTAACAGACTATAGCAGTCTACACACATCAGTCAGATACTTCAGGATGAGGCTCTTTAGACAAATATGCCTCTTTCAACAAATGTGAGTCATTCTCACTGGCAGAGATCCAGATATGTCAAAATATTTAAATGCTGAAGAGGACTTTATTCTTCCAAGGAAAAGAAAGCAGAACTTCAAGAAGCATTACCCAAAATTACTAAGGGCATTTTTTCATTAGACCATACTACTGGTCAGAAAAGGTCAGTCAACTTGGATACTCTAACCCTACTAGAAACCCGAGAGTTAAAATATTCACCAATTCACAGATCTTGGCATTTCGATCATTCTGCTCTTCTGAATGAGCCAGCATGAGCTCTTTTATATCTTTAAGTAGTGACTAGCACTATCTCTTTTTCTCCTAACTGTAGCAAAAGCATGGGCTTTGGATAAGAAAGACAGGCTGGAAGCATTAGGCAATGTACTTAGTTGGCATAAAGTTTCATCAAGTATAAAATAAGGACAACAGTGCCTTCAATTTAATCATTCACCATATATTTATTTTTTTCTAAGCAAAGTATTGGTACATTTTATAACACTCATCATAGAGAATTTGCATCTGTACATATTTCCTGCCTTTTTCCCCATTCTCCCCTTCCCCTGAAGCCCTCTTCCCCTCCCTATATGAAAAAGCTGTTTCCATTTTTCCCTTCGATTTTTACATTTTGTTCTTGTCCTTTCCTTCCTTTCTCTCTCCCCCTCCCTTGTTCCCCTTCCCATTTGAACACTTTCTTCCCATTTCCCAACATCCATTATACATTAGTCCTTATTTCCACTTTTGGTTTCTCACACCAGAGAAACAATGCGATATTTAAACTTGTGTTTATTTCACTGAAAGGTATGTCCTTAGGATACATCCATTTAGCTATAAATGTCTCAAGCTCA